AAATATATCCTCGATTTAACTTTACAAAAAAGAATGTTTATATTCATGATTAGGATCGTAAAATAAAGTAATAAAATTAAATATGAATATAGTATTCTACATTTCTTTGAAAAAATATTTTAGAATCAACGAAGTTAAGTACTCGTAAAGTATAGATAATAAAAAACATTTTATTAAATTGTCCTTCTAAAAGTTACTTTACATCGATTTATTTAGTAATCATTATATCATTTATCAACTAAATAAACCATGATTTTTAAGAGATAAATGTTTCTCTAAAATTCTCTTTTTAAATTGAATGATTCTAGAAAAAAATAGAAAACTAACAATCAACTAACATGTTTTTTATTGTTTTAATAATAAATAAAACATGCTTATGTGTCACATAAGCTGAATTTAAACGACATTCTTTTTCTTAATAATGATGAGTTTATTTAACTTTATATAGAAACTGACTACTAGTGGCATATTTATTGCTTTATTTATCGATAGCTATTTCAATTTCAATAGTATTTTAATAACTAATAATACATGAAAGAACCATGCTTAACGATTCAAAAACTTTTCCATACAAAAATTTTCGAAGTAAACTCTGTATGGTTATAAAGATTCTTTTTCAGTAAGTCGTATTCTCAATAACGATGATTATGCTAATTTTTTTGTAAAAGTTCGTATATAATTCGCTTATTAGATATTGATTTTTTTATTACCAACTCAATAAGTCATGTTATCTTATTGGGCGAAAACTATGAGTTGATGAATATTTAGCATTCTTTCACCAGGAATATTTGCAACTAAATAAGTTTAACACAACACTTAATTGGAATATGTGTTTCAATAAGTTTCTATGTCATACACTGCTAGATGACAAAAGTCATGAAAAATAATCATTGTTAAGTTTCGAGTTTGAATAAACATCATTTTGAGAGTATAACTTGAATTTTTCTCAACTCATTTACTGACAAAATACTTATTCTAGGTGAATAAATCAATTAAAAAACGCTACTTTGTATTGTAATAAAAATTCGCTAAATAATAATACATTAATATATTTTTTTATTGAAATATTCTTATATTGTAGGTGATATTATGATGATTTTCAGAATTTATTATACAAAAAGATCAAGATACTACCATTTATCTTGCTCAAGTCACTATCAACGTCTCTTGTGAATTCAGAATATTATATAAATTTTAAAATTCTTCAATTCAATTATATTATGGACAGAAAATATTTATCAAATACTATCGTTGTTTTTCTTTTCTTGCAAAGAAATAGTGGATAGAATAATCTTTTAGAAAGTTGTCTGTAGCAGAATTTGGTTATAAATCAATAACCTCTATCTCATTTCCGCCAATTAGCCTATTTCGAAGAACTGTCTCTTTATGCCATCAAGCTATCCACATATAGAATGTTATCGGCGCTTTTGAACTTGCTAAACGTCATTTCATTGCTTTCAAAACGGTCAAATAGCCGTCAAATTATATTTGAATTTACTTAATAAAAAGACATTAAAATTTAGCTTGCTGTTTTCATGATCTATTACAAAAAAAACTGAAATTCGTATATGTGTCAATGCATTTGGTTAACTAAATATGTTTTACATTACAATTTAGTGTATAAAAATTAAAAAAGCTGTTAGCGCAAACCCTGGCGGGATTAAAATGTGAAACACGAGCTAACTGTTGTTTCTACCTTCAAGAAGATAGTTTAATTGTATCTTTATGAAGCGGATTTTGCCTCATTCTGTGGCATAAAGGTATAGAAATATAGGAAAGAAATAGTTTATATATAATGTACTCGCTCTATTAGCGTTTTAACAGTTGTGTGAGTGTCGATATCGTAATATTTTTTGTTCTTTATGCCTACACCCACACCCTATATAAAGGCCTATGATACCTTGTCGGTCACGTCTGTGATGATCTATGATATCATGTGGATCGCCGCCTTTGATGTTCGGTCGGTCACGTCTGTGATGTACTGTCGGTTACGTCTATGATTTTTTGACGGTCACGTCAGTGGAGGGGGGGGGGGCGGGGGGTAGTGGGTCCAAATTTCTGCCCCTAAACACTTCAACACTCTTTTTAGTTCGTGTTCCACAAAAGAATGAATACTATACATGTAATACACATATTATTCATCATTACCATCCATCATTTAGATAATAAATTCGTATAGAACCATATTGAAATAATAAACTCTATACGAGCGGATATTCCATGAGAAGCGACATTGTAGCATTTGATATAACATAGATCATGGCGTTGAAAAATCTGTTTAAAACTTAACGATTTTTATTTCATAATTAATACAAGTATCTTAATCTGAAAATAAATAAAATTTATTTCTGATTCTAAGCTTTTAAGAATAGTTTTCATATTCTTCTCTGAAAAGACTACGTAGCATATGATATTGATTACAACATCGTCTAAGAAATATTACAAAAAAATAATTGTTATCTTGATAAAACTAATAGTTATACTTTCGTTATGTCAAGAATAATAAATTGCTATCTTTGTGAACTATTGTATAATAAACAGGTAAATAGAGAATTTAACATAATTTATAGTAATTAATTACGAAAGCAGTTTCGAACTATTTCTGTTGTGTATTGAATGGGAGGAAGGGTCAGACAATTATATTGATCGAATTATTTTGTTTCATATTTAACTATCATTCATTCATGAATAAAAATTAGCTGGGATAAATTATAAAACAACTTTTTAAGTAAAAGATAAAAATAGAAAGTAAGAAAGAAGTCAAAAGATAACCTGTTTTATAACGGTAAATATTAATTACAAATGAAAAATAAGTAAGTTTAATGTAGTTATATTGAAAATCTATTTTAATTTTAATGGAAATTTTCGATCTTCATTCGATCATTATCAACCTTATACCACAACCATTATGACATGATGTTATACTACAATTCTATGAACACGAAAACATGAACACAAATATATAGAAATAGTCATACACATCATACTATAACTTAACATCATAACCATAACCATGAATGTTGTTAAAATCATTCCCGAGCTAAATATACTCAACTTGTTTAATACTACTGTGTATCATTAATGTATGAAAAATAATAATAATCTTGAGATGTAAATTAACATCATGTCATAAGGTTGTGGTATAAGGTTGATAATGATCGAATGAAGATCGAAAATTTCCATTAAAATTAAAATAGATTTTCAATATAACTACATTAAACTTACTTATTTTTCATTTAAATTAAAAATCTCAAGATTATTATTATTAATTACAAATTTTGTATCAATACTGTGTTCTATATTGAATTCATCAGTTAATTATTAATATTAAACAAGTGTTTATTATCCTTAAGTCTGTTTCATTTGCTGAATAAATATCCAGGAAAAACAAATTTTATACATTTATTCTTTTATTGAAGTAACTGTTTTTGTTGACTATAGTAAATAAAATAATAAGTGGTTTATACCACCTATTCTACAAGTTAAAACAAAGAAACATATTAATTCATTGTTATACCTATTTTCTCTTGTGTACAACTAACGACTATAAAATGTTTTTTTTTGGTATTCTCATGTTTATTTATGATCACATATCAACATGTGCTATAAATGTATCCTGTTGAAACTGTTATGACCGTTATATGAAAAAAAAATAAGAATTAGTTTCATCAAAAATTGAATAAAATGTGTAAAGCTTATTTTTGAGATTTCATTCAATTTTGTATTTTGTTGTATTACGTAAAAATATCAACCTTCAAATAATTTCAATAGATAGTAAAGAATGAGAGATGGTTCGATAGAATAAAGATTATTCGATACATCAGTGTGTTTTATCTTTTCAAATTCAGAGAGGCAAGATATTATTATAAAAACTGCACTAAAGGAACAACTACAAGTTTATTCTTTCTATACATGTGATGAAATATATCGTCAAGTAAAGTTGAGAAAAGACATTAGGTTATAAGTATTAAGCTATTAATCAACATCAATCTAAACAACGAATTTCAATTAAGTCTAGCTAGACTGCAGTTTCTTTGTATCAATAGTTTATCGATATATCAATCGTCTTGATAAAAAAATATTCGAAAATCTTATGTATCAAATTCTTAAGAATTTGATTGTGCAACTTTGATTTAAAATTCAATCTAGTTAAAGTTTATCTTTGGATCTTGTGAAGAATTGATCGAGATAGCTAAGAAAATAGAACAACATCGTATATTCATATATTTATAAGTAACTTATTTCAGTTGTAATGGGAGATATCTAAATAGAACTAATCAAGCTTTTTTATTAGTTTGTTGGTCATTGATACTACATAATCAGAACAAGGCAACAAAATGTATTATCTACAGCAAATAAATCTATCCAAGAAAGAAAAGATGTTCTAATTCATAATTTATATTTTTTGTATACTATTTAATGATAAATTTCTTATAGAAATCACTCAGATAAATGCAATAGTATGTCTCAAATTATCGTTTCTCGTAAAAGAAAATTATTCTTCAATCGATTTTATTAAAACTTATTCTTCGATAAAATCAAAGAAAAATAAAAAAAGTTATGCATATCTATATGTATGTCTATGAATCAATGAGTGCCAACGATTCTTTAATATGAACAAAAAAAAAGATTATAGATATATGATAAATGTAAACTCTAGTAGTTCATAATAATTATCTAGTAGTATCATGCAAAAAAATCGTTTATTATTTTTTTCCATCATTTATATTGTTGATCATGTTATTCAATCAATAATAACCCATTCAATATCATTGCTATGTGAATCAGCATCAACTAAACCTTCTTTTTCGTTGACAATATTCCATTCATGGTGAAGATGATCTGTATTTTCATTTTCATTGAAATCAAATTCATTTTGATTTTGATTATTATTATTACTAAAAGTATTTTGATTTTGATTATCATAACCAAATTCATTAGTATTATTACAATGAAGGCCATTTGCGCTATCATCACTATATTCATTATGATTATAATAATTACCATCATGTTGAACACCATAATCAAAAAATTCATTTCCATTATTATAACCAAATTTATTATCATCATCATCACAGGCTGAGTTGCCGAGAAAAATAGATGCTTCTTCATCTTCTTCGATAAGATCATCTTCTTTTTCGGCAGTTGGTATTGGTGGTCCAAACTATGTAGATAGAAGTGAGTTTTTTGTTTTCTACAATCAACTAATTAGGCGACCTCTCGCAACGATAAAACGCTTTAGAATTCAGACTTTTTCTAGATTGTATATTGCTAATGACTAATAAAATATTTTTAATGGGTAAATTTTTTTATTGATTTCAAATGTCTTTCTAGTAAATTTCGAGTTTCGTACTCGAAATAGCTGTCGTTAAAATTTATCCTATCTGACGAAGATTACATTCGTTTTATCCTAGAACTGCAATGTATTCTCATGTGCATAACACATTTGAATTAACAAAAATTAAGATCAAAACTCTATAAGCTGTGAATTTAATAAGATGGTGATGAATCTATCTCAAAGTAATACAGGAATGAAACAACTAAGCACATTTTACTAGTCAACATGGATATACAACATTAAAGTAATCTGAATATCAAAGCATTTTATCGTTTGAAGAGATATTCTTTTAAAATTTTTTGATACTTCCTATATAAACGGATAATATTTCTCAAATAAAACTTGAATGTTTTCTAAAAGCTTAGACATACAATTTAGAATATTTGAGTAATTAAAACGTTACTTTGCGCCTTCATAATTCCAGTATTTATGGTAGTCTTTTTCATAAAGAAGATGTACAGGCTGCTACTAAACTAAAATAACTTTGAGAATCTGATTTTAATTGCATTTTTAATCCAAATCATCATTAACATCACTTAACATTTCACAATTTACTATAACTGATTCTATATGTATGTTTTCTTACATGGTCAAGTTTATTTTTAAACGAAATCTCAGAATATGAATAGGCTAAACATTAAAACACGAACTAACCACGTTCTAATTTCGTTCTGAGTTGAGTCAGCTTTTGAAAATGTTTATTCATCTCAACTATCACATTGCTTAAACATGAGACATTAGAGTAGTATCATTTTATAAATTTAATTTAACTTCGAAAAACAGTCAATAAAAATGAAGCAGATAAACAACAAACGTGATATCTTTAATATCTGAATCAAATTTCATATATATTTTTTAATTCAAAATCATTTTTATGAAATCTTTCGTACTTTTGTAATTTGTAGAAGACTTCTTGGTTTTGGATAGTTAAGCAGAAATGTATAATGATGCTCAAAACATACTTATTGTCTTTGATATGATAAACTACTTGAGTATGTACAGGTTGATCACGTTAATTCTAATATTTTTGCATGATTTGTTGTGTTTCAACGGAGCAATGAAAGTTTCTTATTCTAGTATGGTTAGATAGAGCATCACTTACTCTATCGATCCATACTATTTGCATTCTATTTTCTCTAGCTTTATATAGAAAAATCAGTTGATCTCTAACAAGGTCAAAAAAAATCTTTTACACTTTTGTTTTTATCAAATTATTTTTATTTTTCATCATGAATATATATTAAAAAACGGTACAATTACAGACGATATTCGACATGACAACCTCGAGCATTATATATCTTCAAAAGTCTTTTCGGCCATGAAGCTAATACTTTGTTAATATAATTTAATTCAGAGATGGACAACTCCGGGGGTAAGCAACTCCAACTCCACTCCAACTCCATCTCGTTTCTCACAACTCCACTCCAACTCCAACTCCAGTGTTTGTGATGTCAACTCCAACTCCACTCCAACTCCATCGATTTTTTGAAGGGTCAACTCCAACTCCGCTCCAACTCCAGATAAAAAAGTGTCAACTCCAGAGTTAACTCCAACTCCGGAGTTGAATTTGCTCATCTCTGATGGATATTTTTTGTTGTTCTCTTATACGTCGTGAGATCCATCGGAGTTGAATCGGAGTTGGAAAAAAGCACCAACTCCAACTCCACTCCAACTCTATCTAGTTTTTCACAATTCCACTCCAACTCCAACTCCGTTGTCTACGATATCAACTCCAACTCC